ATTTGAGAGAGAATGAGATAGAGAGAGCATGAGAGGGGGGAGGGTCAGAGGGAGAAGCAGACTCCCTGCCGAGCAGGGAGCCTGATGCGGGACTCAATCCTGGGACTCCAGGATCATGACCTGAGCCGAAGGCAGTCGCTTAACCAACTGAGCCACCCAGGCGCCCCATCTCACTCATTTTGAAAGGAGTCAAAAGCATCTGATTCACACATTTAAAACTGAGTATAATAAAAACTGTACAAGTAAATACTCAATATAAAACTTAAAATAAAGAGAAAATGAACTAGTCCCTATAATTAATCCTGACTCAGTATTTAATAATTTAACCTCCTTGAGTAGATACAACTTAATACCACTTATTACTTGAACATTACATATTAAAATTTATAAGAGTTATTGATTTTTAGATTAAGGATTTAATGTTTTAAAAATAATAGTATAAATACATCTAATTACCCTTAGAAATATAATAATTAGTAAAACCTATGTATAAGACTTTCCATAGAATATTACAGAAATATGTTTTAGAGAGAAATACAACAATACATAAGCATTAGTTCACAAGAATGCTTACCCTATTTACTATGTACTTCAAAGCTTACTTCAGCCTTAGGGTAGAAAATAAATTATGGACATGTTCTATACTTAATCTCAAGTGGGTAATATAAGAGTAAGTTAAAAATGTTAGCAAAGGATAATTCTTAGGCAATTTTAATACCCTCATGTTGAAGAAAAAAAACAGGAGGAGAGCAGTACATTGAGGCCTAACCAAGAAGAACCAAAACTTGTAGTTTCTGTAGATACTAAGAGAGGCATAAAGTACTACACTGTGAGAGAGACTTGGATGAGCATTTTGTTTTTAAAGTATAAGCCTGAAAGTAAGAAATATTATTTGGGCTCCAAAATAAAAAATGTATCTTTCAGTATGATTTTTTTGTATTAAAGATTTTAATTTAAAAAAATAGTCTACTATACCTCAGGACTTTTTCGGTTCTGTAAAATCTGTTTGTCAGTTTCTTTGTTAGCAAAGTATCTAGTGCAGCCTCGGTTTAAATACTAGGAAAAAGAAATATAAATATAATAAATACAAGCCACGTGAAAATAATACAGAAGAAAACAAATTTATCAAACAGTGGTAACCAAAAAGAATTTTTAAATATAACTTGAATATCATTTACTCTCTCAATTACAACTGATAACTCATATATATTATAAACATTTTACTCCTACTAACCAAACCAAGGATGTTGAAAATCCTAATTTCTGAAAGCAGATTAAATGATTAACAAAAATCAATACCATAAAGCTTTCCTTTTTTTTTTTTAAGATTTATTTATTTATTTATTTGACAGAGAGAGAGAGAACAGGAACATAAGCAGGGGAGTGGGAGAGGGAGAAGCAGGCCTCCCACAGAGCCGAGAGCCCGATGTGGGGCTCGATCCCAGGACCCTGGGATCATGACCTGAGCTGAAGGCAGACGCTTAACGACTGAGTCACCCAGGTGCCCCAAGCTTTCCTATTTTTAAAGGGCAGCAATTTTAAATCTCAATGTCAAATATCTTCTTAAAAGTATAGTTCATAAAATAAGTACTACAGATATAATGAAAATCACCTTCTACTAAATACGTAGTCTCAAATAAGGACCTACACATGTGGTTTAATATGTCAAGTAATATTTTTAATGCTGAATAACAGAATAATATCCCTAAGCTTCTTAATTTCTGATTTTTAAAATCAGCTCTTCAAAACATGCCTTTCATATTTACTGACCGTTAACACTGACCATACATAAATTACAATACTTGCTTTATGAACTTTCATAGGTATCCAAATAACAATTTCAGCTTTTATCTCAATGATTTACATTGCTGCCCAGAAGCCTTTTAAAGACTAAGCACTTTCAAAACATAGAACAAGGGAAGCAGTTGAGAAGAAAATAATTAATTAGTCCCAAAGAGAATCTATTACCCACATTTAAGGGCAGGGGGCGGTAATCAGGAAGTACACAAGAAACAAGATGGAAAATGTTTTTAAAAATCTCAGCTTCTCTTGAATCAGGTCACTATGATCTCACTGTACCATGGCATGAATTCCAAGATTAAATACACCACACATCATATAGATGCTATGAAAAAATATAATACATTCTGAATGATTTGGGAATAAATTAATATTTCAGATGCTCAATACATTTATTTGTGTACCTCCATTACAATGAAATATTTAAATAGATAAAACCAGAAAATGATATACAATGAGTTGTTCTTTCTACCTTAGAATCTTTAGGAAAAAAAATAGAAGAGAGGGGAATAATATTGGTAAGCAATTTCAATTGATTATTTCAAAAAAGAGCTATTTTATATAGTAAGATAATAGTAGCTTAATCATATAGAGCCAAAACAAATGTTTTTTTTGCTAGCAAGGGTTTTATCTCCCCAACCCCAATTGCTTTACCAAATACTTGGCTTTTGGATAGCTAAAGGTAGTATTAAAACCTACTACTTGGGGCGCCTGGGTGGCTCAGTTGGTTAAGCGACTGCCTTCGGCTCAGGTCATGATCCTGGAGTCCCGGGATCGAGT